GTTTTTTTAATAATTAAAAATAAATAAAGTTTTTTTTTATTTATTATTTTTGTAGGTGATTTATGGATTCCAAAAAGTTCAAATTCATTATTTTTAACACGAATTAATTTTAACGATATACCACCGAATAAAGTAAGTAAAAAATATTAATAATAATAATATTATTTTATTTTTGTAAAAATAATAATAATAATAATAAATTTTTCCAGGTGGGAAGCAGAAGTATAATATTATCAGATTTGGAAACTGCTATCGATAACACTCCAAAAACGATAAGTAACGATGAAATAAATAAATTTTTAAATTATTCAAAACAAATTTTAAAACGTTGAAAATGAAATTTTTTTTTTACTTTATTTATTTTTAAATAACTCAAACAAACAACAACAACAACAACAACAATCATTTCACATTTTAACTTTAATATATATATATATAAGAAAAAAAAATTTCAATTTTCACTTATTTCGTTTTTATATTATTTTATATTATTTCGGTTTTGTGAGTTCGGGTACTTTCGTGAATTCAATTCGTAAGCGTTCGAATTAGGGAAAAGAGAAAAAAAAATGCAAAAATGAAAACTCGCAGGCTTCTGGAAAATCGCTTTGGAAAATTCAATATCGTTTGTAAAAGCGTTCAGTTCAGTTTTCCCTGTGTCGCTGACCCGGTTGTTTTAATACATTTTTTTATGTTTTAACCTCGCTCTTCACGGTTCGCGTCTGCATAGCCCCCCCAAAAAAATATTATTATTATTATTATTATTATTTTCATACGCGACATAAAAAAATTACGGTTATGAATTTAAATGAGGATTTTAAATTGAGCGATTTTCACAGAATTTTAAATTAAAATAAATAAATAAATAAATAAAGTAAAATTATCATTTCAACGTAATATGAAAGTAATTAATAATTATTATGTAAGTATAACGTCACAAATTATTATTATTATTATTTAGATAAACTAACATTAAAATTATTATTATTATTTTTTTAAATAGATTGTAAACAATAGGTGGGGGTGACTGTATTAAAATAAGACATTAAACCTCCGTGGGGAGGGGGGGAATTTACATATCGGATCCCTAATTTTAATTTTTAGGTAATAATAATGATAATAATGGCAATATTTATTTTTATACGGTTTCGGACACTGAAATATTTTCCGCCTGTTGAACGGGGGGAAAATTTTTGTTTTTTTTTTTTTTTTTTTATAAAATGACGAACGATTTAACGATCCGTTACGAACGAAACGTTTTTCTTAAAATAAACGCGTTTAAAATAAACGTTTGTTAAAAATTAATTAATTTCCAAATGGAACATTTTTCCAGTTTTTATAAAGAAAAACAAATGATAATAATAATTACAAAGGAAAAAAATGGGGATCGAAAGGCATTTTAACGGATCTATTAATTTAAAACGAAAAGTCTCTTTTTTTGGGGAGGCGGGACGGGGGGCGGAGAAATAAAAATAGTAAATGGGATGTTTTTTTTTTTTTTTTTGTTATCGATAACAATTATTATTATTATTATTAATTTTTTTTTATTGTAGGAGTATATTAATATTTATTTTGCGGTTTTTCCCCCATCGCGCGCGACATAATAGAACGAAAAATAAATAATAATAATAATAATAATAATTAGTGTAAAACTTTTGCGGGGAAAAGTTTTTATACGATGCGAAAATTATTATCTACCACACATTAATTTAAAACTAATTAAATGAATAAAAAAAAAAAAAATTTTTTTTGTCTTCTGCTTCTTTTTTTTTTTTTAACAGCAGCAAATTATTTAACGAAGGGATTATTACTATTATTATTATTATTACGCGTTTAAGAAAAATGATAATGCCATTATTAACATCACCACTTTTACTACTACTACTACTGTTGCCTCCGTTTCTGCTGCTCCAGCTCCAGCTCCAGCTCCTGCTTTTATACTCCTATTAAAATAATTTTGCATATTTTAAAACTTTGAAAAATTTACACTTTGTGCCTTTGGGTTATGTAATATTTAATTTTCTTTCAGGTTTTAAAAAAAAAGAAAGAAAGAAAGGATTTTGTAAGATTTTCAAACGTGATAATAATAATTATTTTTCACATATTTTAAGAAAACAAAAAAACAAAAAAAAATTTTCATTTTGTTTTATTCGTGAAAACTATTTATTTATTTATTTATATTACCCGAAATCTGTTTTTGCCAAACGATAATAATAATAAATATAATTTTCAACAATGAGCATTTTGAACGGAAATACAACGAGAATTATATGACACTTCATCATTATTGTAGTAGTTTTTGTCGTTGTCATTATCAGATTTTTTTTTTTTTTCCAGAACGAATGGAATGAAAAAGAAAAGAGAAAAATGTCGGTGTCAGGATAAAAAAAAAAAAATAACAGTCTTAATATTGCCAATTTTTTAGCAAACATTTAATTGTAAAGTAGCACTTGTTAGTACTTTAAAAAAAAATATGTTGTCGTCGTGCCGTAATCGATTATTATTATCATCATCATCATTTTTCGTTTTCAATATATATATAAAAAGGTAAATCGATCGTGTTTTTTTATTATCATTATTATTTTTTATTAATTTTTAATATGTACGCACGTGTTTGTTTTTTTTTTTTTAGGTTGACGAAAGATAATATAATAATAATAAAAAAGAACCAATGAGCGTCGTGGTGGATAACAATACGGTGACGGGTTTTACGTCATTCAATAATACAATATTGGATAATTCAACGAACGATAACAATAATCAGGTACAGCTCACATGGATACTAATATCAGTGATGGTGTTAAAATCGAGTGTCATGGGGTTTATTATAGTGGCCGCGATATGTGGAAATTTATTAGTTATCGTAAGCGTGATGAGACATAGAAAATTAAGAGTTATAACGAATTATTTTGTCGTGTCACTAGCATTGGCCGACATGCTTGTTGCCATATGGGCAATGTGTTTCAACGCGAGCGTTGTCATAACCGATGGCAAATGGTTATTCGGGTATTTCATGTGCGACGTGTGGAATAGTTTAGATGTTTACTTTTCAACGGTTAGCATACTTCATTTGTGTTGCATAAGTGTCGATCGTTATTACGCGATAGTTCAACCCTTAGATTATCCTTTGATAATAACCATACATAAACTCGGAATCATGCTCGCGGTCGTTTGGTGTTCCCCCGCGTTGCTTTCTTTTCTTCCGATATTTATGGGGTGGTACACTACGAACGAATATTTAGAATTTCGTTTGGATCATCCCGATGATTGTTCATTTAAAGTTAATAGAACTTATGCTGTGATTTCAAGTACTGTTTCATTTTGGGCTCCAGGACTTATTATGATTTACATGTACTGGAGAATTTACATGGAAGCTGACATTCAGGAAAGGATGCTGTATCGGTGAGTTTTTTTTCAAATATTTTTTCCTAAAATTGCCTCAGGGGTAAAAATAATTAGAAAAGGATTAATGATATAACAAAAAAAAAAAAAATTCATTCAATTAACGAATTTTTAAATGAAAAATTACAGTCGAATAGATTTTGAAGATGAAATATGCCTTAGGTTTTAAACCTTTTTCTAAATAAATGCCCCTCCCTCCGCCTCTCCCTCAATAACAATTAAATTTTTTTTATTATAATTAATCAAGTACTTTTGACCCTCTCGATTAATAATTAAAGTATTTAGTTCAAAAAAAAAAAACCGCGTCCTCGTGTTAGAATAATTTATAACAACGCAAGAAGGCCTTTTGAAAATTTATTTTTTCTTCGTCACTTCCTTCCGG